ACGATTACAGGATATGGCTTTGACGGGAAGGGAGATATGACGGTCTCGTTTACGATGCTGATTTTACATTTTGCGTGCAACTCGCAACTCTAATCTCCGCTCACTACCTTTTCATTTCCGTACCTCTGACTTGAGATGATATCCCTTTTGCTCTTACATGCCACTGGTTTCTTAAGAGCTCATTCAGGTGATTTGGAGACGCCTGCAAAGCAATCTTGCGTTTGGTCTGGTGCGTGTTTCGAACATGCCGTGAATGTAGAATGAATCTTATCACTTTCTTCTCGCATCCCAGAATGCTTCTGAATAGAGATATAAATTTTTGGTTTGAACCCCGCCCACTTTAGTGCCAGGCCCGCCGACTCCGAGGATTTGACCACATTTGCTCTTTTCCACCTTAACACCTTTTTGATGCATCCCAGAACGTTTCTGAACAGAGTCGTAAATTTCTGATCTGAGCCCCGCCAACTTTGGCGCCAACCCCGCACACTTCGACGATTTAGCCACATTTGTTCCATTGCCTCTAAGTACTTTTTCCCGCATTCTAAAACGTTTCCAAGCAAAGTTGCATTCATTTTTGAAAAGTGACTTTCCCTTAACGCGCGGGGAGCCCATCGCGGGCGAAGCTTCGCAAAGCTTACGCATGCTCAACACGCATAAGGCCCTGCTCACTCTTCTTTTTTTTTCTTGGCCTTTGCGCCTTAATTGAAACAAGTTATGAATGCATATGAAAAGTACCCCCTATTCCGAGGAAGCTCCTCCCACAGCGGACGGATCTCCTTCGCCTGGCTTTTTGAATCAATCCTCACCTTTGAACATTTTTCCCCGCTGTCTGGACCTTTTCGAAGCAAAAATAAGATGTGTGACTATTGGCACCGCCCATTCCGGCACTTGCCCCGCCTCCGGTGGGCGGAGCTCCGCCAAGTTCATATGAGCCCCGTTAATCTTGCTTCAAGCTCCACTCATTCCGAATTAGTCCCGACTTCTAAAGGTGTTTTTAGGTAATATTGAATTTCCCGTTGAACATACAAACATACATACATACGGACACACCAAACTTGTGGATTGTATATAGTAAGGATACCGTGAGGGACTTAGGGCTTGGGGTTCCGACAAAGAACTTCATTCGCGTTGATATTAGATTCGTCGTTTCGGGTCTCAGTCATATAGAAAGAAATTTCATGTAATTCGGAAAGGTGAGCGCGTGAATCGTTACTTCGATCTCTGAAGAAAACAAATTAGGCGAAGTTTCAGCCACCAGCGAAGTCATTCTCACCAATTCTTATTATCATTCAAGACGGAGAACTACAATGCCGAAAGCCCAGATATTGGTTGTTCGGTTGAACCGCGCCTTTTTCCTAATTCTCAAACAAGTTTGCAACGCAGCGGTAGAATAAGCAGTGACATATACACCCACCTATGCACCCTTCCTTGAACAGGATATTACAATGTTTTTCTTGAAATATTTAATTCATTTTCCTATTCATCAGCCAAGCCAAGCTCATGATTATCACTCGTTCTCGACTACTGTAAGAGCAGGAATCCATTTCTCTAAATACATATCTCCAGTATTTTTCGAATGAGCGCTTCGTGAGATTTGCGCCGACAGACAGGTTCATTTTCAACTAGAAGCTCTGGTGCAAAAAAAAGTCACCGGTCTAGGTAATTTCTCTTAACCGATGGTTTTTTGTTATTTACAGACAACTAGCTAGGTACAACTGCCTCACACATGGATATTATCACAATTTCGCTCATTTATGGTCTCAGACAGACTCGAACCCGCTCTCGTGCACCATGCACCATACGTTCAACTGTTATATTACATAGACTTGCATCGCCTTCAAAAGGTGATTGTGGAACCATGTACGGGCGGAGGAAGAGCGTTTTGCCTTCAACTTTGCGAAGTTGTGCTCTGTCATTGCGAGTTGCTAATCAAGGAGCAGACAGCAAAAACTACGAGTCATCTATTGATAGTATCACGACAGCCTTCGATTGTTGGAATAATGAAGGTCCGTGTTCCTGAAAACCTATGGCGACATGATGTAGTATTCCAATCATTAACGTAACAGATTCTGATCCCGATCGTCTTCATTAGGTTTCGTTAGTTAAGGGCACCTTTGAAAAATTCGAAAATTGTAAAATCATACCGAATTCCTTGACCAGCTTTTCGTAGGTATGGTATCCTAGTCCAGGCAGGTTTTGAATCTTCAATCAAACGACTTCTCATTCAATTTTGAATGCAGAAAAATTTCGATAGACTACCTTTTCATTGGCAATGAAGGTATAAGATTCACTGTCTGGTATGTAGCGTACTCCGTCTGGCTTCGCATATCGTGTCGCAAGTCGAGATATCAGTATGCTTCTCCCTGCATGAAGAACTGCGTATTAAAAGATTATTTCAACATCCCACGTAACATTACTGTTCATTGTTATTAATGGAACGGCAGCTTAGAACCCCAAACAAATACTATATATAACTCAACAGATGAAAGAAAATCTGAACTCTGAATCATGAGAAACTTCGTCGAATGTTAACGTAGAATGCTGAGAACAGAAAGTGTCCCCACCATCCTCAAGTGTTCGCATAAAGTTTCTAAGTGTCTAGCAATGGAGATTGGATGTTTCATACTTACCAGGCTCTCGCAATCTAAACTGGTGACGCGCTGTGTTTGTTAGCAAGATACAACTCAGGCTCTCTATGAAACTGCGTCTTCACTTTTAATGAAGAATGTCTTCATCACAGCTTTAGAGGAGAACATCGTACAAGATTGGCTGCTTTCATAGTCCGCGGCCGGGGGCTGAAAACAAAGACCCTTCGAAGGGGCGTGGACTGTTTGCCTAACACTGTCTGCCACCCTCCTCCCCCCTAGCACTGCCTCCGCCTGCCGGCGGACAATGAAAGCAGCCATTCTCATTGTATAATATACGAAAAATGTAGGCGTAAATGCATGAGCGGACTCTCGTAGTGTTTCGGATGCAGGTCAGTATAATAACAATGAGAAAAGCAATTGCTTTATGATTACCTTGGACAGGCTCGTTAGGTTTTTTTTCATTAACATAACGCATTAATTTAAATGAAAACCGAATAGGACTATTGTGTTCCTAATTTCGGCCCACAGTTCTACAGTAGCGCTCGAAAGTGTTCGGTCAAACGCCTTCACGCTTTTTCGTTCAGTTTTTTTTCTTAGTGGAGCAAATCGCGCGAAATTTTGATATGTTCAACCAAGGCATATCTCACACTACCCAACACTATTTGATTGTAAAGCAGCCACATTCACACAATTAGAATAAGATGTTTGTTCGGCAGCAGATTTCGCTAAAAGCAAAGTTAGTGACGTCTGCAGTTATTCGCACCTTATGTGCGTTTTTGTTCTCCACTGTGTTCGGCATTAGCGCTCGTACACTAGAGACGTGGCAAAAAAAACGAAATTCCAGAAGGAACAGCACTAGTATTTCTAGTTGGATTTNAATCCCAGCCCTTTGGTATATCTGGAACATGATCAGATTGCAGGTCAATAGTGATAAAATTCACAATACACCCATGCTACACATGTCGAAATTTCGCATGATTAGATCCAATAGGAAAGGAGTTACGATTGAAAAGTACGACCGAAGAAGCATTCGGCCGGATACTTTTGAGCGCTACTGTATTTAATGAAGCGAAAACACTCGGTAGAAATTACTCACGAACCGGTTTGGCACGTAAAGCTGTGAACTCAAAAAACCTAGCAAATGTCGAAAGATGAACCCAGTGTACTGGATTGTCCGAAAAGTTCCCGCCGTTTTGGAACACCCTGGGTTTATCATCTGTTGTACAAAGAATCAAGAACCTAACCAAAATAGAGTTACATATTTTCTGAAATGGTAAGTCCTCTCCTATATCTCTGGTTGAATTCTGTGATCATTTCTCAGAGCCTGTCCGTGTAGGACTCGCGTGAATATTTAGGAGCATCGCGTGCATTTTTGACACCCGATGCTTTTTTTGCTCGAGCCCCGAGAAAGATTTGTGACATACAATTAGATAGTGCACTACGTAAGTGGTTTGTGAACATAGAACAAATTGAATTCACATTCGAAAATCGGCAAGGCTCAGGGAGTCTATCATCGCTTGAAAATGACCAAATCAGAAAGTTATTAGAAATGGATCGGCACATCACCCCTCGTGCATCGGAAGAAGACTTGATGTTCCGTAATCAACCATCTGGTGCAATTTGTTACAACTCAGTTTTGCTAAGCACCTTGATATTTGGGTACCCCAGGAACTGAGCGAGCGCAACGTGATGGACCACGCCTTCGTGAACAATTCGTTGCTCAAACGAAACGAAAATGAGCTGCTTCTTTAACGCATGGAAACGAGAGACGAGAAATAGGTACCTACAACAACGTGGATCAGAAACGATCGTTTCCAGCGAGCTGCCACAAACCACCTCAGAAGTCAAAATCCGGGTGGGGGAAAATGTTATGTTGCTGGAAGGATTGAAAGGAAATACTTATCATGAGCTGTTGCCGCATCATCTGACAATAACTTCGGAAAGGTACTGTATTCAGCTAGACAATTCGGAGGCAGCGATAGAACATAAGCGCTAAGAACAGGCAAATCGTAGGGCGCTGTCTTCCTAATGGAGTAACTCCAGACCACACCTATTTTTGTCCTTCGTGGAGCTTAGGTGGGATGCCCTCCCACACCTCCCATATAGTCTGGATATAGCACCATCAGAGTATCACTTGTTTAGGTTCCTGCAGAATTCTTGGAAAGGGAAATCGTTCATTCTGCTTGAGGACTGCAAAAAGCACTTGAGAGTGTCTTTCGATTATAAGTCTGCGACCCTCTATGAAAGTGGGATAAAGGAACTTTCGGAAGGTTGCGAATCAGTACTGAACAGAAAGGAAAATATATCATTGTGAATGGATTCGTTCTTCTTGAAGTTTCCATCAAAAAATCGGCGGAAACTTTCTGGACAACCCAGCGTGGATACTGAACGACCATTTCAACTAAATCGAATTTAAGCATTCAGGAAAGATGCGTGCATCAATGCTTTCATTTTGAAGTTGAAACATATAAGCATACCGATTCCAATCGAGGCTGGGCAGCCAGTCTCGCGTCTCACTTCAGCTCGTAGATGCTCAGCAAATGCAACTGGGTCAGCAATTTGAAGCTGGAATAATATAGCATTAGTAACTTAGACAGCATTATGAACAGCATCCATTACGCAAAGTAGCATCTCAATTGAAAAGATGGTCCAAAATGGCAATATGCAAAGCACAAGTACAGCGCTCTTGCATCTAAAGTTCTGCTGACCACCATTCCAGCGGTGCTCCAACACATTCAGTTTGGTACAGATGATATGTACGTAGGTTGCCTTTTACAGTTCCGGATTAGAAAACAAAAATAAATGTTAATCATTGAAAATAGCTTTGCTGCATTTGAAATTTTTCCTCATTAAGATCTATACACTTTGCATGCGCAGGAACCAATTTTAGAGGCACTTTTGCCACTCTGATTGAGGTAACTCTACAACATGCACTCTGAACGCATCAACGGCTCCTTCTGGTGCCGAAAAACGTGGGACTCTCTTTTTATTTTTTTACGTGCGGGATAAGAAGAAGTCAACCGGGGACTATATGGCTGATGACTCATCAAATCGTTGTTTTGAGTGCTCAAAAATGCAGTTGTTTGAGCCGATGTGTGGGAGCTCGCATTGTCGTGGTGAAGAGTGATCCGTCTTCGGCAGTTGGTTTTATTGATTTTTTAGAAGACAACGGGCAAACACATGGTTGTATACCTCTCAGAATGGACTGTTCTGCTTGTTCTAGTGTCACGAATAGCTTGTGGTGGATTTGGCTCATCTTGAAATATCCATACGGTAGACTGCTACTTACTTTCGAGCTCATACGCGTAAACCCATGATCCATCACCTGTCTCGATGTCATAGACGTGTTTCGAAGCACAGCGATCGTATTTTTTGAGCATTTCTTTCGACCAATCAACACCTTTTTTTGAGGGAATGACAAATTTTGTGGGATCAATTTTTTTACAGTCGAACGTTCACGCAATATTAAATGTATGCTGGTCCCTTCAATGCCTAAGGTTGTCCCAATCCTACGATTGGTCACATGACGATCTTGCGATATTAGTTTGCGCGCAGCATCGGAACAGCAACTGATTTTGGAGACCTCCACGAAATTTGTCTTGGAGTGAACTACGACCTCGGTTAAATTCACCATACCATCGATAAGCACTTGTCCTTGGTACTTGATGGAGCTTCATCGAAAAAGGAGGGGAGATAAAGGGGAAGGAGTTTGGCCTAAGTGGGGGGGGGGGGGG